CCTCCCTCCCTCTCTCACCTCCCCTCCCTCCCTCCCTCCCCTCTCTCACCTCCCCTCACTCCCCACAGATCACCATCAACCACAGACACTTCTGCGACTTCCACCACCGACTGCCCAAAGAAAGCGTGCAGTATATATACATCGAGGGCGACCTCCAGGTGAACTTCATCCAGTTCCGCGGTGGCACCAGCGTGAGTTGTTTTTTACTTTATCATCATCATCATCATCATCATCATCATCATAATCATCATCATCATCATCATCATCATCATCATCATCGTGTTCATATCATTATAATCATCATCGTCATCATTGTCATATCATCATCATCATCATCATCATCATCATCATCATAATTGTCATATCATCATCATTGTCATTGCCATATCATTATTATAATTATCATATCATCATTGTCATATCATTATAATCATCATCTTCATCATCATCATTAATAACATCAACATTATTATTATCATCATCATCATCAAAATCAAAAGGGGGTGGAGGGGGGAGGGTCACACAGGTCACTTAAAATCAGTACCAGCTTGTTCATGCAGGTAACATAGATGAATGAATGCCATGTAAAGTGCAACCATATGATGTGTCTTCTTCTTCTTTCCCGTGGTTGGGGCAACCGTGGGGGCACCACTGCATCTGACAACCAGCTCTCGCCATTTCTCTCTGTCCTCTGCTTTCCTCAGATAGTCACCCATCGTCTTTTCTGTCCACTCTGTAATGTTGTCCTCCCATCTCCTTCTCTGCCTTCCTCTCTTTCTCTTTCCTTGTACGGTTCCTTGTAGGATTATTTTGGCAAGTCCTGTAGATTTTGTGACATGCCCATACCATTTTAATTTTCGTCTCTTCACTGTGGTCAGTTAAACAGGTTTGATTCATTGTGTTCGGAACAGTCACTCATTGGGTGGTCTATTAGTTGTAGATGTTCCTGGTTTTAATATTCAGCATTCTCAAGTTGGAATTTTAATTTTAAAGTTTCATTTGTAATGGTTTTTCACCCATTTCGATTATCCAATCAAAGAACTGAGGACCTGTGGGTGGTTGGCAGGTGCTCTGGTGTGGTTTGCTCCTCCTTTCCTCTCAAACATCTATTGTCCTGATCTCTCCTCCTTCTTTTTTTTGGTGTATGTTACTCTCTTGTAACACATCTATTCTTAGGCCCTTCTATGACCTTATTGTGTTGCAAGTGCCGTAAAACTCTTACTAAAACTGACCTGAGGACCCAGCTCCTATATTTCCTTGTTCTGTTATCTGGATACCCGGAGGTGTCATCTCTGTCTCAGAGGTTGATGTTTAATGACCTGCTATTGCTTACGGTCACAAGCTGCCGTTGTGTACTCTGTCATAATAATTTACATATATATATGTATTCTCTTGTAGTGGCTTTAAACCAGTGCCAGCCCACCGTGGGAGGTTGGGGAGTTTAGCGGGAGTAGTCGGCGATCAGTGAGAGTAATTTACAAGCAGGTCAAGCACTCAGTAACAGAGACCTCGAGACAGCTTTTGTTTTGGTGGCAGTCGTTGTGTGTCCTTCTGTAACTGCTTTAGGCCACTATAGTGTGTGTGTGTCTGTGTGTGTGTCTGTGTGTCTCTGTGTGTGTATTTTGGTATAATATGTGTAAATGAAGAAATATATTTATGATCATTCATGACTATGATCACACTTCATTGTACAAATAGCATTTCCCTGTGAAGGCAGATGATGTTAACTCTTTCTGTCATCCTTATTTTCTCTTTGTTTCACATTGTTTTCACCTTAATTTGACCTTGTTTTCACTTTTTGTTCACTTCACACTTTGTCTTTCCTCAGGTTCCAACTCCTGCCTTTCCAGCAGTTCCCGCGGTGAGCTGAAACTTTCTTCCAAAAATTTTGGTTTTGTAGTTTTCTCAATAGAATTAGCCTTGGTCATTTCATAGCTCAAAGTAGTTGAAAGATTGGTGAAGTTAATGTATTTATTTTAGTTAACTTGAAGTAAGCTGGAAAGTTGTGGGGGAGGGGGGGGGGGGTTAATACTTTATCTTTAGGTCCTTCAAATAATGTCTGACAGGATTATACAGGTGGACGTCTTACAGTATCGTTGTAATGTGGAGAAAAAAACTCTCCACAAGGGCAGAAAATTGGAAGTGGCATTTGTACAAGTGATCATCTGAAACAGGTGTCAGTTAGAGCAGGTTCAACTGTATTTCATATACAATATATGTATATTATATTTTTTTCTTTCCCTTGAACACTAAACAATGACCTGTGGACTACAGTACCAGCCAGCAGCACCAAGCTACCCCCCAGCCCCAGCAGTAAGTCTCCGTCTTTGCTTCTTCGCACGCTGTTTCTTCCAATTTTTTATTTTTTTAAAATAATTTTTTTCGCTTGCTTTCATTCCTAGCTTTTAATGAAATCTTTCTAAACAGCAACAAAGTTAAAGTTACTCTGCTGGTCAAAATACCTTGCATGTTTTTACCTCAATTTCCTTTTCTGTTACCAGTTTTATGAAGAAAAACTGTGCGAGATAGCGAGTTAGCGAGTTAATGAAGAAAACCTGTAAAAAGATTTTTCAAAATGATTAAAACAGCTGATAAATGAAAACTTTTTAAAGATGAACATGCTTATACTGTTAGTAAGGAAGCTTCTTGCCCCCAAATTGTTACTTTGCATTTATCTTGTCTGCTTTTTGCTTGATTCAATTTATGTCCTTGTCTCTCCCCCCACTCCATCTT